CTGGCTGAATTTTACGCCATAACAACGCCTGTCTGGTTTTTATGATAAAACCCAATCGGTCAAAGCTTTATTAAAGTTATTTCCGAGTGTTTAAAATGCTTTTTATCGCCTCTTGACATACAGACGTGACTGTCGCGCGCATCCTTCTTTGCCAAGATCAAACAATGATTATGCAAAAAACTGAAGGAGATATTCTATTAAATTCCTGTTACAGGTGCATGTCATTCACTCTAACTCTCTCATTTATTTTCAGTTTTGTGTTTAGAGGGCGGCTGGATTCTCAGTTATCAGTTAAAATTTTAGCCATTTCTCAGCTATCAGTTAAAATTTTGGTCATTTCTCAGTTATCAGTTAAAATTTTAGCCATTTCTCAGCTATCAGTTAAAATTTTGGTCATTTCTCAGTTATCAGTTAAAATTTTAGCCATTTCTCAGCTATCAGTTAAAATTTTGGTCATTTCTCAGTTATCAGTTAAAATTTTAGCCATTTCTCAGCTATCACTTAATTTTGACAGATCTCATTCCAGCTATCAGTTAAAATTTTGGCCAATAATTCTCAGCTGTCTGTTAAACCCCATCAGGACCCTCTATGACCTCTATTTAACGCGGAGAAGAACCCAGTTTACTGAATTACCCAAGATTAAAGGAGCTACGTCACGGATGGCGCATCTTTTTTGATCATCAAGTTTGTCGTTCGAAATCCGTCTTTTAAATCGTCTCCATCCTCAACCATCCTTGTTCCCGTTTGGTTTTATATTTAGGCTCTTTGGTGTTTTTCTACCTTAATAAACTATCATGTTGAGGTTTTCTTCAATTTGAAGGTGATTTTGCACTTATGTTCAAATAGAACGATTTCGCATAGGCCGATTTTTATATTCTAATGAGTACCATTACATGCTGATGTAGAGGAACAATAGAAAATTCCCAGCGCTGAAATAAACTATTGTGTAAAATTCGAATTTGTGTAGATACCAGCGTGTAATATACGTTTGGTGCGTGTGGTATTTCAGCGCATCTAATTCTCTATTGTTCCTCTACATTAGCATTTAATGGTACTCATTAGCATATAAAAATCGACTTATACGAAATCGTTCTATTTAATCTCGACGTTTGGAGAAAAATGAAAAAACGTTTACCAGTGGTTCAATTGATGTCATATTATTCTCACTGGGTGTAGGCGGCTGTCCGGCAGAAACGACTTCGTTCACACCTGCGACACAAATAAATCAACATTGTTCAGCTTAATCGTCGCAAAAGATCTTGATGAGCACTGGATTTCTGGGTTTCTGTGCAGTGCTGGTTGTGAGTAAACTTAACAGTTAAGAAATCAACAGATCGGATAGGACATCCGTATTGGTCTGTTTCTATCACAGAAACCAAGAGCGCCAAGTTCACCGCTTGACTTTAATATTCGCTTCTCCTCCGGCGAGGATACCGTAGGACACATTATAAGGACTCAGGCATAAAGAGTCCTTTAAGTCATCTGTACGTTGCGGAATAGCCAGTTTTGGAACGGGGCAGCTATAACAAAAAACAGCGATGGAAAACTCTACGATAGCGGTAAACAATTCAACAAGTAATGCTTTAATTTCATGGTTCAACGCTAGCGATGGGAATAAGTCTTCAAGCGAAACTTATTGCGTTTTGAACAACTTGGAAATACCGACAAAATTGCTGGTGGCGTAGTTTATGGTTTTATCTCACTGTTTGGAACGTTAGGTAACATTTTTGTCGTTCTTGTCATTTGCCGAACACCAAGCTTAAGGAACATCTGTGGTGTCTTGATTGCAAACCTCGCAGTGGCTGATCTTTTAACGTCACTTGCAATTCCTCTGTTTTATTATGCTGTAAGCCAACGGCGTTCTCCTTGTGATTCTGTTTTTCGCGTGGTCATAGCACTGGTAGCAGGGTCTTTGGTTGCTTCTATTGCAACACTAGCTTCTTTGAGTGTAGATCGCTCCTTCGCCATTTGCAGCCCTCTGAAACACAGAACATTTATGACTTTCACAAAATTGAAAGTGAATCTCGTTAAGATATGGCTTGATGCCATAATATATTCAATGGTGATCTGCTTCTTCCAGAGTAGTCCGATAGTGCAGTATGTGGGAAGCATTGGTCTTGCAGTTTGTTGCGTCATACTTATCACAAGTGGTGTAGTCGCCATACTAAATGTACGAAGGAATTCCTCGAGGGTAAGGGACTTACACCAAAACCAAGATGGCGGCCGCATCTCCGAAGGTATGCGCCAGAGAAACAAACAAGTTGCCAAGACCATCACTTTAATCATCATTTTGTTCTGTTTAAGTTGGACTGCATTTGCCGTATCAAGGCTTGTGAACCCTTCTATACCTTCCGTCTCCTTAGACTTCTGGTTTTTAGCACTTGGATTTGCAAATTCTGCAACGAACCCCTGCATTTACTTTTACCGACACAGAAATTATCGCGAAGCATTGAAAGTAATACTTGGACTGTAAAACAGATACGGTACAGGGACGGTAGTCTACACACGGTGAAGGTTTGAGCGCATCGACCCAAACTAGACAGACACTGGACTGGCCCACACTGCCGGAGCTTATCCCGGTTTCTGTAGCATGAAGCAGACTAGAAGTATCGCTACTCCCCTGGATGGGATGCTAGTCCATCGTAGGTTACTCCCCCAGCATTTGGTCTGGTTGTCCTAACAGTTCGCCGGTACCCATTTATACTCCTGGGTGGAGAGAGGCGCGCAGTGAGAGCAAAATGTATTTCCCAAGAGCTATAATGACACGATGACACTGGAAAAGTTGAAAATTTACAAAACATGTAAAAATATATTTACAACTGTAAATCTGGATTGATATATACTTTGTAAATTTCAATTTACATGTTAGGGTTTTGTAATACATTATATTTACATGTACAGCTCAAAGATAATGTAAATGGACTGTAAATATAATAGTGATTTACATGGTTAGTTTTTACATTGAGAATTCGAGGAAGTGTAAAAAACATGTAAATTATTTTAAACACATTTACAGTATCTAGATCCTGTAAATATCAGTGTAAATCGAAAGAGGGGGCCTCTCAGGAACCCTTGTAAATAACATGTAAATCGCAAAAGGGGGCCTTGTAAATAACATGTAAATTGAAAAAGGGGGCCTTGTAAATCCTTGTACAAATAACATGTAAATCGGAACGGAAAATAGTTCGATTTAGCGGGGGTTCGAAATAACCGGGTCAGCGTTTAATAATTAATAATTAACGTGATGGAATGACTTGTGCATTATACAATTGTTATTTCAAGAAATTGGCGATATGTAGTACATTCGTACACAGGTCGATACCAAAGCGCTGTATATATATAAGAGTTTGTATATGAAATTATATCGAAAATAATTTTCACTTTTCTTTCGAAAAGTTGTAAATAATGTGAATTAAAGTGTTAAAACCTCACCTGTTGTCTTTTCCTGTGTTTTTATCGCTTCTGGAGGCCGTTTTGAGCGAATTTCGACCTACGGTCGAATCCGCCACTGTGAGCGTACTAAGAGAGACATGGCCCTTGGGGCAGTACCGTAAATGGACTAATTAACGATACTGGCTGAATTTTACGCCATAAGCAACGCCTGTCTGGTTTTTATAATAGAAACAAAACCCAATCGGTCAAACCACAGGACGAAATGACACTTTTAAGGTTTCTTAAAGTTAACTTAAAGATACAGTAAAGAATCGTATTTAAGCAATACATTTTTAAAAAGCTTCAGTAAAGACTGCTTTAAGAGCTTTAAGTGACGAATTAAAGGACAGGATAGAAATCTTTAAGACGCTTTGCCACATTAAATGTAACTTAAAACATTTAAAGGCTTTAGTAAAGACTGTTTTAAGAGCTTTAAGTGACGAATTAAAGGACACATTAAATGTAAACTATCCTTTAAGTTGAGTAAAGACTGTTTTAAGAAACTTTAAGTGATACACTTTAAAGCTTCAGTAAAGACTCTTTTATTAAGTAACGAATTAAGGACAGGATAGAAATCTTTAAGACGCTTTGGCGCATTAAATGTCCCTTAAAGGTAATGTAAATTATCCTTTAAGGTCATTCCTTAGTATTGCACTGCGCATCCTTTCTGCGCATAATTTCGCGTGTGATTAGCGCGCGCACATTAAAAGCATGGCGGCTTTCTCATTATGGCTATGCTCGCCAAAGAGGTTAATGATCGTTTTCTCGTAAACGAGCGTGGTGACCTATCATTTTTTTCGCATATTTAAGTCTAGTAATCATCTTCTTTCTATACAAGGAGTATAGAACCAATTCTCAGTGCAGAAATATTAATAATCACTTAAAACGTGAAAAAATACGTGTTTTTGGTTGATTTTGTAAGGAATTATGAGGGATTTTTAGTCGATTATATCTCTTTCGCGAGGCTGGTGACCTATTCTTTTTATTCTATATTTGAAACATTACATCACAATGTTTAACTAGGGAAAGTTTCAAAAACTTCCCAGTGTAACTTCTATTTCGATGGAATAACCTTAAGTTATGGTAAGCAACGTAGTTAAATGGTCAGTAAACTTTAAAGTTCTCATTGGTTCGTTTTGTTGTTTAAGTTGGCTGTGATTGGCCATTGTAATTGCTTTGGTTTTGGTTTCACGACACTCAATTGAAACTGACCGCTCTAATAAGAATTTTCAAACGCAATACAACATACTGACGATGCAAAACAATATATATTAAAATTGGATGCATAAATTTGACGGTGTGTTGGACTAATAGTTTGTTAATGTTACTGCGAATGTAAGATAGACGGTTCTCAAACTCATTAATAATTCATGAGGTTATCAGCCAATGACGGGAAAGTATTTCGTCACATGCATGAATCTAGATACCCAATGAAAACCCATATCCAAATCACTAGTGATCTGGATATGCGTTTTTATTGGATATCTAGATTCTTGTGGCATTTATATGACTTAGACTTAAACTAAATAATTATCATAGAAGCATTTTTCAAAGAAAAAATAATTCAATGTTTTACCAGCTGGAGTCGAACCCGTGACCTTCCGCACAGCAGTCGGACGCTCTAACCATTGAGCTACAAGATACTTGAATTATCATCATGCTGGCTTATTATATTCAACGAAACGAAACGAAACGAAACGAAACGAAACGAAACGAAATGAATATGTTTGGTGGTTATATTTGATTTTAGGAATATATTCAGACTGGTCATGTTCGTTTCGTTGATTATCACTTTTCATTTCGTCGAATATCACTTTTTGTTTTCAGGTGTTTAAGCTATCAACACGCTGGGGAATTGTGTGCTTTCGATTTCCCGCCGTGTTTATAGTTACACAACACCGTCTGGTCCAGTCCAAGTCCATGTAAATTGATAGCTAAACACCTGAAAACAAAAAGTGATATTCGACGAAACGAAAAGTGATAATCAACGAAACGAACTTGTTGTAGCGATTTACATGGACTTGGACTGGGCCAGACCAGGTGGTGGGCGCACTAAGCGCGCAATGCATTGCTGGTGCTTGTTCGGTTTTCAGCTCATTTGCTCCCAACCGCCATCGTGTGAAGATGTCTGGAGAGCATCGAATTATCTCGAAATAACCACTTTTTGCTCAAAATATCGCCGCTTCTGCAAGTCTTTCGATTCTATCGTGTTATTGATATTAGGAAGTAACGATTTTCTCGGACTTAGTGTGGAAAACCATTGGTTTTGGACGTCTCAACGGGACTTACAGGTAAGCTAAATCATGTTTGTGGTTTGTAAACACTTTACACAACAAGTTAATACAACCTCTTGATAACCTATTGCTTTATAGCCACCGGGAAAAATCAGGGGCACCCTGAATATAGTGAGAGTGAACTGTGAATGATTTATTGAATCCAAAATTTTTATGTGTTTCTGACTTTGATGTAGCTCAGAGAAAAATCAGCTAAATAAGTCAGTGGTAGTCTTCCTAGCGAACGAATTCATCAGTAGTCCGCAGCTTCAATATAAGCTTACATGTAGCTACATACCCCCTGCATAGGCCTATAATTAAAATCAATTATTGATATCCATTCAAGTCTAGTACTTCATGGCTGATACATGAAGGATCAGTCTATTGGCATCATGATAAATTACAGGGGCCAGAGTACATATTAGTGACTAAGCCGAAATGTTTTGTTGCTATTATGTTAGTCAGGGACAAAGCACAACAGAATGAGCAGTAGCATCTAGTTGGATGGCTGGTAAAAAAATAAATTATTCATACATCTGAAAATCAGTCGAGTATGCAGCAGGGGCAGATCCATGATTTTATGAATGGGGTGGGAGTTAGTATGAGAGGGGAAAGCTAAAGTCCATAGGCCTGGGAGGGGTCTGGACTATGGAGATTTATTTACCCAGAAAATTTTGAAACATGTGAAAGAGTATATTTGCATTTTTATTTCATAGCAGTTTTTAAAATGTATTATTAAATGGGACTGTGGATAGCAACGATGGCTGTTTATTTTACATTCATACGTTTTCAATTGAACAATGTGGCTTGTAATTAAAAAGGGGAGAGAAAAAGAGAGGAGTCATAGAAGTTTTAAAAGCTTCTAAACCACCTCAACCCTCCCTTCAGATCCACACCTGTATATTTGTCAGCTGGATGCTTATGCTAAGATGGTTCAAGGCCTTTGTATGTTGGGGTAATGTCAGCCAATGGTTAGGTCTTTTGAGTTATTGAACAGCTAGCTAGCTACCAGCAAACTGCAGTGAGTGTAATTTTCTACATTGTAAAAACAGCCCTTGTTCTTACTACTGTGAAAGGCCTTCATTCTATATGGTTCCATAAAAGGATCCTCATTCATATAAAATGGGAGACAGAGGGCAAATGTGTTGCTGTTAGGTGTGCACAGGCCATGTTTATTTCCTTCCCTTTATTGCTGCTGCACTGATTATAGAACTAGTTTATAATCAAGTTATTTGTTGTTCTTTATTCAGAGAATAACAGAAACTGAATGGAAAATGCCCAGGTGTGTTGGAGGAATAATTTGGGAGGCAGTAGTTACTTTACTCAGAGAAGCTTGAGCACCAGGATGTGAACAGTTAAAGATTGACTGACCAGATAAAGCAGTAGTTGGCATAGTTTGAGATGACGCAATCACAAATTTAGATGAATATCAATTTTCTTGAGGTTGTAAAAATAAAAACATATAAAGAAACAATGTGCAACTTTGTGTCATTTCATATCTTCCTATTTTCCAATTTGACATCAATAATTTTATTGCTAGAAAGCAGGACAAATCCTTTTCCTGACACCCAAAGCTTGACAGAAATACTTTTATAAAGCCATTGTCACAGTAATGAATAAAACCCATTTGGTCTTTTAGAACCATTTTATTGAACTTCCCATTCCCCTCAATAAAAGGTTAATTAGCTGTCCTGATGAGAACCATGAGAGGTTGAAAGTTCTTGACAATTCCGAAAATGAGCTGTCCATGTGTATTTTCTAATATGAAGTCTACACCTTCTGGTTTTGTTGTGAAGTATAATATTTATTAGTAACAACAGATAGAATACCGTAAATCCTCGAATAAGCGCCCCCCTCGAATAAGTGTCCCTCCTATTGGCCAAACATTGAAATAAGCTCCCCCCTCCCCCCCTGTTTTTTTCTGGGTAAGAACTGAGACAACAAAGGTTGAGTATTGTGTCAGTCATGTTTCACTCATCATTTTGTGAAATTATCGGTAATAATTTATCAGAATCAAAGTTGAACTACTCTTGACTACTATACGAACAGATTTGCACATACTTGTTTCAGCTTGTGAACATGTTCGGTGAACCGAAAATAATATTACAAATAGCAAGATGCTGCTATTAGAACTACATGTATATGTACAGCTTTGTATATTTAATACTCAGGTTATAAAATTGTTTACGTGCAAATGTTTACTACTAGAGTAGTATTTCAAAAATAAATGGCCGTCTGGCCAAGATTTGGGAAAAATAAAATAAGCACCCACCCCTCTCGAATAACCCCCGCCTTATCCTAAATTTGAAATAAGCACCCCGGGCACTTATTCGAGGACTTACGGTATTACACTTCAATGTGACCTTCAGTGTACAATCAAAACAATATTACAAAACACAAGAATGAAACCATTTATCATCTCTAGAGGTTCCAATTGAGTAGAACATGACCTAAACAATACAGAAAATAGTAGTTCCTTATTTCATCAGCATAAATACGTTCAACTGTGACGGCAGAATCAAGGCAGCATAAACAAATATGCCTCCCTTCGGTAAACCAGTCCTCTTTTGACGTTCATCTTGATTATTTTCCGGAACATATTTCCCAAATAGGGTTCTCTTAGTCCTAAAAGAATACAGAATTAAATAATTTGTCAGCAAAAATATAACATATTAAACATCCAAAGAAAGTGGTAAATTATCAAATGAAAGTGCTAAACTCGTAATGTGAGACTACATGCGATATTTTTAATTCCAAGTTATAATGGCAGGTAAATATGCGCGATATTTTGACTAATAAATTGCGCTATGACGGCATTTCACACCTTACTGAACACTCTTAAACTTGAAATCTTATTTTAAGAACAAAATTTCTTAAAACAAATCTCCACGTAAGAACTTTGTTGTTGTTAAATTAAATTTCTTATTTGAAAGAGTTATTCTTATTTTAAGAGTTAATTTTTATTTTAAGAAACAGTTTCTTACTTTAAGTTTACTCATCAAAATCCTTAATTTAAGATGAAATGTTCTTATTTTAAGAAACAATTCTTATTTTCAATTACAATTTAAGAAAATTTTTTCTTAAAATTAATTCTCATTTTAAGAGTATTTCTCTTATTTCAAGTAACAGTTTTTCATATAAAAGTTAGTAAAAAAATTCTTGTTTTAAGAACCAAAACTTCTCATTTCAAATCTTGATTAATTTGAAAAAATGCTAGTAATTAAATCAATAAAAAAGTATTAATTCAAACGCGAGAAGATCTCTTACTTTCACTCCTTTGGACAAGATCATTAAATAAATGCAATTAATCCATTTACAGGTCTCTTCCTCGGTGTTAAGTCGGACACTGTGGCCAGTGACAGTGTGAATTAAATTAACACTCATGGACTAGTATTACTAAAGTCCAGCAATGTCAGCACGGTACTATTATTAGAATACAACTCTCAATGCAAAGCAGTGCACATCAAACTTTTATTGTAATCCTGCTAGACATTGGATTCACAATAGGATATAATTACTGTAAATGGTTGACCATGCATTTTAGTCAGTGTGGAAAAATAATAGCATTACAATGAGCGCTTCTCATTCGACCAGAAATTCCGTAAATTCCGGAATCAAGTTTCGGAAATTTGTGCATTTAATAACCTCTTGAGGTTGTCCTAATTTGTATTAATGCTCCTGAATTTAAAACCGGAATTTTTGGTCAAATGGAAAGCGCACAATATATGTATTTTACTAAAAAATATGCTATTAATTTATGATGCTCACAACTAGAGTCATCATGACACTGAAGATTATTTAAATATTTTAAAATAAATCAGTGTTACACCCTGGTGAAAATCTTTCAAGGATCTTCAAGGATCCTTTAAGATCTTCACAAGGATCTTTGAGGATCCTATAAAGGATCTTAATAAAGATCCTTAAGGATCTTTCCAAGGATCTTCAAAGATCTTCGAGGATCTTGCCAAGGGTCTTCAAGGATCTTCAAGGATCTTGCCAAGGATCTTCAAGGATCTTTGAGGATCTTCAAGGATCCTGTTAAGATCTTTGAAGATCTTGTTAAGATCTTCAAGGATCTTGCCAAGGATCTTTTTAAGATCTTCAAGGATCTTGTAAAGATCTTCAATGATTTTGCCAAGGATCTTCGAGGATATTGTCAAGATCTTCAAGGATCTTTTAGGATATTATCAAGATCTTCAAGGATCTTGCCAACATCTTTAAGGACCTTGTCAAAGATCTTCAAGGATCTTACAAAATTAATATCTTCTGTGGTCTTCAAGGATCTTTTGGATTCTTGAAAAGATCTTTGAGGATATTGCAAGGTCCTCATAGATCTTTGAAAAGGTTTATTAGACTAATTGCATATTAAGT